TCTTTCCCTGGGCGTGGCACCAGAAAGCGACTGTCGCGGGAGCACCAACGTCGCAATATACGCACATACATATAACACGTATACGCATAAAACATATACATGCATACTTCTCTCTCGCTCCTTCCCTCTCACCCTCCCATCCTCTTTCGCTCTCTCTCTTTCCTGATCCAACCCCTTATCGATCCTGCGGCGTACCGACCGAAAAACAGCAAATTGAAATAACGCAGTAGAGAGGAGACATCGAACTTTCGCGATGCATGATGAAGCATCAAGCAGATCCGGCATGGAGCGAAAACCGGGACCGCTGGTCCTTGTCGAGGACAAGCAGGATGTCTCGAGAGGGACACTTCCGTCCGCGATGGCTTCGATTACAATGGTGCGTGAGCTAAAGAGAGGGAGAGCTAAACAATGTATAGCCAATGGAGATCAATTGATATCGCTTTTCTCTTTTATTAAATTGTTAGATAACTGAAGCTGTGAACACCAGATTCAATATCAATTTTTTTTTTTTACGGAGAACAAATCTCAGCGAGGTTTGAGCTCCAAAATCGAAGCTGTTCTTTTATGTTCAATGTGTAAATACATGTGTAAACATATTGAAAATAGGAAAGTGATTAAGTTCTTTTTTCATTATGTTTAAACTTTTTTTATCTGCACGTTTAATTAATATTTAATAGTAAGTGTATACGTATTGTATAATTTATACATTCGAACTAAGATTGCGCAAAGGGTGATAAGAGTGAATGGAAAGTGAAAAATCAGTTTCGACTGAACATTCGACTTTTCGGCGCATAGAAATTATGTATGACTCGTCTTCGGACGAACACCGAAATATCAAAGATTAACTACAATACAAAGATGGAACCGTGAGAAATGGACAAAAAGGCGAAATAGAAACAGGAACGAGAGAGAGAGAGAGAGAGAGAGAGAGAGAGAGAGAATGAGAGATAATAAATGAGAGAGAACGAGAGAGACTAAGTCTGGTTGGGGAACCAGTATTGATCGTTCCTGGGTCCATGTGACGCGCCTGCGTTTCACTACGGGGTAAAATCGTAGCGAGGGTAAACGCGAGACGAATAAGAGGGAGAGAGATAGAACGAGAGAGGGAAAGAAAAAGAGAGAGGAGTGAGAGAGGAAATGGTGGAGAGAGAAGCGTATATACAAGCGGGGTTCATATACCCCCAGGATAGCTGCAACGTTCCACCGTGCCACCGACCAATCAATGGAGCTTTTCCGTGCCTCTCTCTCTCTCTCTCTCTCTCTCTCTCTCTCTCTCTTTTCCCCCCTCTCCTCTCTCTTTCTCTCGTTTCTCTTCCTACATCGTGTATACAATATGATCGCCTTACAGAGGCGCGCACGTACGCACTCGTTATATATGCATTACGTGTATACATACGTCTCTGATACGCTGTAACACGTTGCGAACGACCACGTAATCGTTGCTCAAAATAGGAAACATATAACAGATGCAGGCGATTGTTTAAAACTGTTTGTTCCAACGAATGTATGAGTTATTGAAAAATTAATTTGTTACGTCCCTTAATTGTTACGTATCTAATTGATTATAAGCCGAATTTATAAATTATATTTCGAGAATTTTGTATTCGAAGGAATATGCAGAAAGAAATAAAGAATTTAATTTTCTTTATTAAATTGTTTCCAAGAAATCCTCCCTCGCGGAAGATAATATATACACATATATTAAATTTAAATTTAATTAAAATTATACTTACAACCGCAATAATTATTATTAAATCAATTCTAATTGCGTTATTGCGAATGTTAATTGTTCGTGAGTGTCACGAAAAATCAGTCATGAACGCATTGAAGCTTTAATTAGGGCACACACTTTATACTTCACCGGCAATTTCTCTCGCACGACAAAATGGGCGATGAATTGATCACGTGTAATCTTAACGTTGCACGACGTATCGGATTAATGAACTTTCCCTGAAAAAAAAATCGTTCATTTAGCCGTAGACTTCTATAACACACTCGAGTAGTCACTATTCGAGGTAGAAAATGGATCCTTCGGTTTCAGAAATATTAAATTTTAGTTAGAAATAACTTATTTAAACATATAAACATACCGTGACGACAGTTAGGCTAATCGATGCTTAAATTTATTATTATGCAAAGTTTGAGTAGTAAAAAAGTGGCACGTGAGAAAAAAGTCAAAGTTAAAATTAAATAAATCTATTCTCGGATTCACATTTAACAGGCTATTATATGATATATCCTTAGATGCTTTCATCGATAATTGCCAACATTGAAACTTTGTTGTTGGTTGTACCTAGAAGATCATCACTTGTCTTCACTAAAGATGATTTAACGCGCTGCGATCTTATCTAATCTAATCATAAGGGAATCGGCCATTTTTTGTGCATTACGACAGGCAGCTATAATTTATATTTTTACTTTCGATCGATATCAGTACAACTAAGCGATCCTTAATGATCCACAATACACCGCAAATTCCTTTACTGCGAAGTTCTATATTGCTTGGATGATAAGTATCGCAAATAAGCCTTTCTTACTGCCTGGGACATCAATTTTGTATAGATATTCTCTCGGGAACGTAATTACGTCTGCAAAAATAGAAGTGGAGTTGTCTTATTATTAAATTAACAAATGTTTCGCGTGACGCTATATTTACGAGTGTTCTCGGTACTTCTGAATAACTTTGCGCTTCGTTCTCCGCTGGTGTAAGGCCAAATCGATTTCGAGTCAGGAATATCGACGGAATCTCGTTAAGAGTTCGATAACCCCAGAAAAAGTTGTCGAACAGAATTATCGTTCCCAAGGTATAACCCCGTGGAATTACGTTCGTGCTCGTCGTGCTAGACCGATGATGTCGGGGACCTACCCCCGAAAACGTAGCTTCGACAGCTGGATTGTGACTAAACTAAGGAGGGTGAGGTTTGCGTTTGTCGACAGGAATGATTCACGAGCTCGCCACGTGACTGGCGTATTCGCACTTTTTAAAATCTTGCAAAATAATTCTGGTATTTGTTATTCACACGTGCAATGTTTATACACTTGATACACTTTTATTAATTAAATACATACATTTTATCATGATACACAGACTGTAGATTCTTAAATTAATCGTCAATGAATTTCTAAATTAATTGTCAATGAATTCAAATGAACGTCACGTACTTAATCAATATTTTCACTTTTATTTCGAAAACATACGTATTAATAAAAAAATCAAAAGCCAAATGTTCCTTCGTGCATTTAATAATTATTAGTAGCTGTCTCAACAGGATTAAGTCCTTTTTAAGTCGCTCCCCTTCGTCTAACTTGGGATAGTCATAGATGCGTCTGATTTCGGGGGAAGAAGGGATTTGCATGCGAATGACATACGTGTACGTGTGATACATGCACACGTGTACGCCATTTTTTTTTTGCATATGCTGTCCCGCATCTGTTAGCAGTCGTGCCCTAGTCTAAACTTTATTCCCTTTTGTTCTCCACCTTGACCAAACGTTGTAGAGCTTATAATAGGTAGCGATGCTTGACATTAGGTATGGTCATGAGCGCGACCTGGGATTTTTTCTTCTTCGTAACTACGAGAGCACCCGGCCGATCTGAGAGGTGGTTCCATTCATTTCGCTAATCGTAAATCCATTAAAATGAATAGAGTCACGAACAGTTGCAACGAAAAAAGATTTATTAAATTTTAGTAAACATTTGTTTGGATAGTACCTACTAACTAACATTTACTTATAGTAAATAAATATTTATTCAATAAAAGTGATACTTAAATTGAATTAATGGTTCTTGTATTAAATAAATATATGTTTACACTTAGTAAATATGTAGTACTATAAATATTTATTAAAATTTTAGTATATTTTTTTCAGTGTGTACTTGTTCACTGAAAAAAGTCTAATAAGAATTATCAAATGTATTTTGAATACAACATATTGGTGCAATTTTTAATTAATATTACGAAACATTAATAATCATAACTATCGTTTCTCACTAAATCGTTTCACCGAAGCTTTAATAATTACCACCCTTACTTTCTGAAACTTAGAGTGAAAGCTCATTCTGAAGAGTAAAATCTCACTCTCAATTAAAAATTGAGCCACTCTTTTTCAAGACTGCCTTAATTTTCACTTTAGAGTGAGATTCGACTCCAAAGAATTTAGAGTTTTTTCTCAATGTTTAATCGATTACTTATCGATCTTGTCGCCTTCGAATTCTTCTGTATCTTGGGTATAGACTATAGTACAATCCAGCGAGTATCTCCTTTCTCATTCATCGATCTCGCGACGTCGCGTCACGACGCTACTCGCCCGTAAAAATACCCTCGCTGCGCCAATGCCGCGCTTCTAGTTGCGCTGTGCGGCGCACGCAGCTACGGAAATAAATTTTCGGAAAACACCGAGTTTATTGGCACGGCCGCCAAGTCTTACTCGACCCGTTTCGTCAGAGTCGTGTAATTTCGGTTCGTAATACCGTTGAGAGACCAGTCGGCTCAATCTCCGGGTATAAATTACGAGCTAAGGTCAGGGATGCAGCTACTTCGATCCGTTTCCCGCGATTATGCTCTTTGTACGCTACAAGACAAATTCTCGCAAAATATGCGAACAGTTGACTATATTTCGTCCGGTTGCAAGGCCACGTCGTAATATCTGCAGCATTAAAATTTTTTAATTCTCACGCAAAGCTCTTGAGTGAAAAATTGATGACGAATGTCGTTATAAATGACAGTTTCGTAATTTCCTTCTATCTAATTCTTAATATTTTTAATTTTCATAACTCTTAAAAATACGTATATCTTTATGAAAGATAAGTAAATTTCTATAATTTAATTCTGAAATTGGAATGATATTTTCAATACTGAGAAAAAGGCTGAGGCAGTAGTTTTTGCAATAAAATATTTACGGATTGTAAGATTCTCATTAATATCTTATTATTATAATAAAAACGCTTATAAAGATTCTTACAAAGATGTTTATTAGCATCAAAAATTATCATCGCTTGTCTATTTGATAAATGATATTGCTACTCTGGTTCTGCTCATGATTGTGTTTCAAGACCGTAAAAGATTTCGGCGAACGATTTGCAGAATTAGATATGTGTGTAATTTTATACAGAAATATTTAAGCACACGGAAAAAACAGTATGGTTGGTCTACACAGAAATCTGGTGATGCCAACCAGATTAAATAGTAAAATATGAAACAACTATTTATGTGGTTGCTTGAACCATAGTACAATAGTTAAGTTAGGTTATGTTGCAGCAATGACGGCATTCACATATACATATTCTTAATTGTAAGCGTGATGAGTCGCTTTTGCTTTTTGAAATTGTAATTTAATTTATAGCATGATGTAACAAGAAATTAATTCTTATTAATAATTTAATTCTCATTACATCATACTTTATAATGTCACGATTGACGCAACTATACGGATATATAACTTATCCATAGTAAATGATCCCCCAACCAAGTTTTGGTTATCACAATCAGATCCCGCCCAACTACATTGATGTAATCGATACATCAAAGTAAATAAATCGTATCAACCATACACATTCTTATCACATAGATAACTAGGATGATGTTTCTATATTGTTCACAACTAAATATTTTTAGTTATGTAAACTATATCTTTTTTTTCCGTGCACTAATTAAGATCAGTTTTGACCGAATATGGGATTCCTTTTATTTAATTAAATTTATTCTCATCGGTCCAGATTCATATTATAATTGAGAAAAAAATCTGTTTAAATCAATTGAAATTCTGGTTGAAAATTGATGAGTCAGAATTTTCTGGTTAAATCTACTAAAATTTTAGCTGTGATAACCGGAATTCTGATAGATATAAGATTCTTCTAGTTCGTTCACTTTCAACCAGACATTTTTTTCAGTGAAGCTATAGAACTCCTGATACATCTCTCGCTATATATAGTATACTGGATGATTTTTTATAGATGGTGTAGGTTGCGGTTTTCCGCGAAGTTGCGATCAAATATGGACAGCGTAAGAAACGAGAGGGGAACTCTTATCTCTCTCGACGTGATACCTTAGTGTACCGAGGGTCAAAAACCTTGAAGAGCCAGTTACGATGCCGAGGGATAGCACAGCTTGGGGTTTGGAGTGTATATCTTTCCTTCGTGCAAAATTAGGTTGATGAAATTGGATCAAGAGGATTCGCAATTAAGGACAGCCTTTTTTTCACATGATAAAAAAGTTTTCTCAGTTCTCCCTTCATACACCTAATACAAATCTATACATGTAATGTCCGAATATCTCCACAATTTCTATTTCTAATGATTTATGTATAAACATACACTACGTATAATAATTTTCGACCGCATTGACCGATAAATCATATTCTCTCTTACTGAGAATTTTATGACATTACATTATTATACATCACGTCATTTTCAGTAACCTCCGTCTACAATCCGAGTCTTTTTTGATACAAGAAAAATTTCAAAATTTTTAATTTCTCCGAAATAAAGGAGAATATTTCTAAAATATTTTGTTAAAAAATTATTTAATAATGTACGTAGGCAATTTGATAAGTCAGTGACTTTTTAAAAGGAAAACTATGTTGAAAAATAAGTCAAATTTCGATTTAAAAAAAATAAAAAAGTATCACTTATTAAATTGCCCTTGTATAATAATAAAAACGTTGAAAAGTATATATATATATATATAACCCTGAATTTTCCCACATTTTTTGAAAATACAGGATAGCACAAAAACTTGTGTTAGACGGAGAGAATAAAAGCATGATGTTGCAGACGGAGAGTTAATTAATATCTATAAGTTACATCCGCAAAAGTTGCATCCACGGATGCGTAGTATTTACTATCGAGTTCATTTCGCAGTGATTCAATCAATTCAATCGATAGAATCGCGCGAAACGTGGTTCTACAAATAAGCAAGATACTTTCATATTTCGTGCGTGTCTGTGCACAAGTCTTATTAATAGGAATATGCGCTGGCATCCACGAAAAAAAAAAAAGTTCAACTCAAATCACAAACCTATATAATTATCGTCGAGCTCGATTCGGGCTCGGCTAATCGATAAGTTGAATTTGAAAATTTCGGGCGTACTACGCGTACCCCTAATTTATTAGCGTGTTCAATCGACAAGCTCCCTCTTCCCGCGCGGTCCCGTGCGTGCCGGGGCGAATCACGGATGTATGTAGGGTGAAGGGGTTCGCGGGACGCTCGCGCAGCGTGGCGTCGGTGGGCGCGAGTCGAGCGCGGGCCCGAGGACGATCGAGGGTGGCCGAGGATAACCGACGTGAACCGAGCGATCGCGAGTCGCCAGCGCCGCGCGGCGAAGTTGCTTCGTGACGAGCGAGGTCGGGCTGGTCGGAGCCGCCGAAGCGGTTTAGTCTGTAGGCAGCCTCCGCCCGTGTCGCGTTGTTCTTTCCGTTTTCTTAGTCTAGTATTTCAAGCTTTAATTTTCTCGAACCGCGAACCCTTTCACGTCACCCTCCGTCCCTCTTCTTGTATTTCCGTGTACACGCGCGTGTATACGCCGCTCATAAAACGTCGTGCACTCTTCACGCCGGGCCGCCCTGTGTTCGCCGTTCTCTCCTGTTCCGGCTTCCCTCCCACCACCACCCTCACTCGTTCTCGTTCTCCCTTCGCGTCTTCGGGTCTCTACGCCGAAAGCAGCCACCGCGCCGTGTCGATGTCGATACGCGACCGTCGCCCGTCGTTACCAAGTGCACCGAGAACGGTGGTCAGGCGGTGTGCATAAATGCCGGTTTACGAGCCCTCGCGTCGTACTTTACTTTCATTGATTTCCCCTTCTGTTCCGGGCGGTGGTGCGAGAGCAGTAGCTTGATAACAGTGCACATCAGCGGAGGTGACAGCGGTGTGAAACGAAGAGAGCCGGAGGCTCGCTCGAGGGCTGACCGCCCGCACGGTGCTCGGTTTCGCGTGCGACAGCTGAGGAATCAAGTGACAAACAAAGAGAAAGTAACAGGTACCGGAAAATAAATAATATCGCTGTGCAAAGTTTGAACGAGCGGAACGGAAACGAGTGAGAGAGAGAGAGAGAGCGCGCCCGAAGGACCCCCGGGAGAGCGAATCGATTATTGCGAGATAGAGGGAAGGGGGCAGTCGATTCGCCGATAAGGGCGGAAAGAGATAACGCGCACTTGTCCCCTCCGTCTCGTTTCTCGCGTTTCCGACGATCCCAACGCGTCTCGGGAGCACGTGTCACCGTGTCTCTCGTTGAGTTTTCCTCCTAACGAAGCACCTCTTCGGTCTCACGAACCTATACGTTTTACGCGGCACCTTTAATCGGATTTTTATATAACTCGCAGTTACGAGAAACTGGCCGATCTCGGTTATTCCTCTGAAAGATAGAACGACCGTGATTGGCCAGTTTTACAACTACGGATGTTACTAAATCCGATTTAAAGGTGCCAGGTAAAAACGTAATCACGCATAAACGTGAATTCTCACACGTCGCATTCCTTCCGCGGTTTCTCTCTTTCGTACTCTACTCTCCTTCTGCTCTTTTTTTCTTTAACGGCGCGTTTACATACGCCGCGTATACGAGCCGCTTTTTCGCGCGCGCGACGGGCTTACGCGCCGGTGGGAGAGGGAGAGGGGGAGATCTCCCTCGGAAACACCGCGCAGGGGCGGCGATGCGACGGGAAAGGGAAGGGGGCTCTCACGGAGCGCCGGGCGAGCGAACGTGCGAGAGAGCGAGAGAGAGAGAGAGAGAGAGTGAGAGAGAGAGAGAGCGCGAGGCACAGGGACCGAGAAGCCGCGCTCGTATTGATCGGCCCCGGCCACGCGATTTTCACGATCCGTCGCCATGGCCACCTGGCCATCGGCCGAAGATCGTATCTCGCGGCGTACGTGCAAATCGAACTTTAACCCGCGAGCGACCACCCGCTGACCGGGCCTAGTCGCGATATATGTTCCCCCTTTATCGAACCGTTCGACGAAACGCTTCTTTTCCGTTTCTCGTAGAGAATTTTTTTTCGACTCTGTCTGGAACCTCAAAATGGATTCGAGCGATGGACTTCGTCGAGCGCCCTCCGTTTTTTTTTTAAACCTAGCATTGATCGAATAACTGACGAGATTATATAGTTATATATTTTTATAATTATTGAATGCGTTAATTTGAATTATACGCTGATATCAATATGAAAATCTAATTTTAGATGTAAATTAAAGAGGGTAAACTTATAATAATCCAAATAGTAATCAAGTGTTGCTATTTTATGTCAGAATAGAAAGATGGTACTAAATTGAAATAACAGGGTAACATTTACCAGAATAAAACGGTATTTCCGTTCTATCGATTTCGCCAGATCGATAGTCCCGGGCTGTTTCGAAATAACTCGCCGGGCATCCATCTCGTTTTTCTTCGTATTTCAATTCGCGACAATTATTTTCATGTACGTTAAATTTATGTTAAACATTTCGCATAGACTTTGCTGATAACATATCGATCTTGCACGCGTGTGGATAATTGATAATTACGTTTATAATGTTCGTTTCGATCAATCCAGATTGATTTCAATTCATTGTTCAACTTCTTCTTTCTTTTTCTAATTCTTAGAACTAGGGAAAGGTGAAAAGTTAGTTGAACCAAGATTAAAATTAAACTGTATCGATTGAAACAGGTATAAAGCTCACTTCCATTAATATAAGATTAACTTTAATCTCGGTTCAATTTAATTTATCTCTTTCTAATTTCAAGCATTAGAAGAAGTTAAACGTCGAATTAAATCGAAATTGAAGTTAACATCTTGAAGAATACTGGCACGCGTACGTTTAGTTTTACCTGACGTTTGACTGTTTTTTTTTTAGCGAAGTATAGTACTATTGTGAGCAAAAATATTCCCTAGGGAATAATAAAAATAAAAAAATATTAAATAGCAAATATTCCTTAATTTCATATTTGTTTTAGCAATTAAATAAATGCACTTGAAACGTTAAATGAAATAATTTTTTCTGGTTTTCAAAAATTCATCCCTCAAGAGGTTAATCTTACATTGATGGAACTGGACTTAAAAGATATAGATATCCACACAATATGTATTATGAATTTTTTTTTAGAAACTACGAATTATACCTCAGTTAAAACATTACAAAAAGTGAGATAAAATTTTGTTATAGAAAACTCCAACGCAACGCTTTCTACTTCTTAGCAAAATTTTTTAATCTCGCAGCCCTTCAATAGGGCGCACGAAATAGCCTCGCGTTACGTTGAAAAGTTTTGTCGAGGGTCGCCCCGTTCCGATCATACCTTCCCCCTCCGTCGCCACTACCCCCTGGTGTCGTGCGTGCACGCGTCCGCGTCATTGTCATCCGGATGACGATTGACGACAATGAAGCGAAGATTCAGAAGTCAGAGCGGAGTGATATGCTTTCCCAATGCGCTGACAATATAGTCAACTTAGTAGCGACAACGGGCTCTCTCCCGCCTTCGGCATTGTCGGATCCGAAAATATATCGCGATGGCGAACAACGCCGCGCGCGGATCGATACCGTGGAAGATGCCGGGTTGCGATAAAGCGCACCGCGACTTTTCTGCCTCTTGCGAGCGGCAGCGACGCTTTTGTAGCCTTACTGTTCGTAAACAAAGGGGACGCGAGAGAGTGGTCGGCGGCCTCTTTGCATTCCGCGAATTTGCTTTCTCTTCGTAATTTTGTCATCATAAACATGACTCCGACGAAACTTCAATTCTTTAATTCGTAATTACGGTCTTGTAGCGAATTTGCCTCGCTATTTAAAGTCTAATAGTGCCATCGAATAATTATTGCAACTCTAAACATGTAATATAAACGACTTTATATATGCAAGAAAAAATTTTGAGAAAAAATGTATTAAATTTTAATTAATATTTATTCAAAAAATGATAATGATCTAATCAAATTAATAGTTTTTGTACTAAATAAATATATCTTTATATAGTAAATATTTAGTTTGTATAATTCAAATAAATAATTTATTAAAATTAAAAATATTTTTTTAGTGTATTAGTTTTTTGTATAAAAATAACATTGTACTGCATACAAAAATGGATTTATATATTTAAACATGTATGTTATTTTTGTATAGAAAATCACATATGAAGGCACTTAGATTTGGAGTAAATTTATCAATCTTTTTCTTGTTTCTGTAAAGTAACACAATATTGATGAGATTACTCGTTCATGATTCATATTTAAAACCGAATTATGTTACGTTTTTAGATATATTTAGATAAGATATCACTGAGAAGATATCATTTTGAAGAATATCTATCACTTTTTTGACACATTGAATGCCACTTTCGTTTCATTTCAACAAAAGTCTCATTAAAAACAACGTGGTAAAACACGTGCCATTTGTCTCACACGTGCTTCGCCTCGTTCAATCGTTTTTACACCGCCAGTACGTACATAACTCTTTAAATGTACTCGTTTTCGGCCTTGTATTCGTGTAAATTAAGGAGACATGTCCGAGCATCGCTGCATTCGATATATACGATGTAAACAAAGCAAGTACGACATACCATTGTCCCATGCAAATGCACATATATTTCCACGGCCGGACGCACCGTGCGTATACGTCCAGTCCGTTTCGGAAGCTTGGGGAGCCGACCGTAATAAAAGCTGTCTGTTACCCCGCGGCACCGTGGGCAGCTCGATTTTTAGGGTGGCGACCACCACAAGGAAGGCCCTGAAGGACAGCTGATGTCTAAACGTAGGAGGGAAAAAGGGAGAGCGGCGCGTGTGGTGTGAAGGGAGCGTACGTAGAAAAGAAAGAGTGGGAGAGAATAAAAATGTACGAGTCCAGTGGCTCGTGCCGACTGATAAACGTGTCGTCGCAGCTGTGTGTGTACTCGCCTTAACCGTGAACATCGCGGTTGGCACCCTACGGTAGCCGCCACACGTAATTCCCCTTCCTCGCTCTGCCTCTGTCTCTCCCTCTTTCGCTCCTGTTTGTCCCTTTGCGCGTGTACCGGGTGTTCCACGTGAAAGAGTTTGCCGAATCATTCTCTTGCCCGTTTCTATCTATGCAATTTAATTTTAATGGTTCTAACTTAGATTGTCTATTAATTTAGTTTTTCTACAAGTCATTATCTAAGCTTTTAAACCGTAAGAAAGTGACATAGTCGATTATTCTTCTCACATTTGACTGTGATTGGTCAATTTCTTACGGTTTAAGACTTCAGCTTAGATAATGGCTTATTGTAGAAAACCCATAACTCTTCTAGGCTTTCTACAAACAACTATTACCTAAACTTTCAGTTTTAAGCTGTAAAAATTGACCAATCATAGCTAATTATTTTTCTCATATTCAATTGTGATTGATCAATTTTTTACGGCTTGTGACTTAAAACTTAGGTAATGGCTTATTGTAGAAAGCCTATTAAATTTTTTCTAGTTCTAAGAATTAGAAAAATAGAGTAAATTTTTTAGTGGTAAAACCGATATTCAAATTAATCTACATTTGTAGAAATTTCATCAATTTCGTATTCAGGATGTGAATTCGTTTCCTCCTAGTCGATTCGTTGCTATTCGCGCTTATTTCGTTAAAGTCTTTATCTAGTCGAGGTTGATTGGAATCGATATCTTTTTAAGCCGTAAAGATGTACATTTCAATAAAAACAAATTTATCTCAACGTTTTCTCGTTAATATAACTTTACTGTTTAATGAAATCGTAGCACGCTCGTTTTTTTATGAATATATTTCCAAGTTAATTTCCTTTCTGCTTACAGTAATGAAGTCGGTCACCTGTTCAAATTTTTTATAATTTATTCATGCCACAGATAGTAATTTAGGAAACACTTCATTTATTTTTTGTATTGATGAAGAAGGAAATTGTTGAAAATTAATGACTCCGTTAACTACTTGTTAAATTTTTTATTTAACAAAGCAAACTTCGAAATAGTTCCTGATATTGAGAAATTAGTTATGAACTGATCTCTGTGTACTTTCATGCTTTGGACACCACGTATGTAGGCTTATACAACACTCGATGTGCTTCTGTAGTTTGGAGATGAGAGGGTCTTCAGCCCTTTAAATGACAACGGGGGTCGTCGGCCCTTTTAAATTACCCCAGTTCGTATCGGATGTTATCCTACAGTTCTTCCAAACCGCTACCTTTCGTACTGTGTTTGAAAAGTCATTGTTTAGATTTACACGATCGAATCGCGAGTATTACATATTTGTTTTTTTTTTCCAGATTCTTCCATAATACTCGCATTTTTATATCAATTTTTTTTTAATATCTAATACAAAACATCTACAATAAACAATGTTTTTATTAAAATAAAAGACTAGAAAAGCATTTTTAAATAATTGTAGATTTAAATATAATTTATTCCCATATATTTTATATATTTAATAAATTATTTATATTAATATAATATAAATTATTAATAAATAAATAATTTTTTATATTTTAAATATTTATAATTATTTTTAAAAAATTGTTAAGCCAATATTAAAATTCGCGTTGGTTTTGTCTCATACAATAAAGCCGCTTCTTATACCTACTTATATTTGTTCTTTCGCCGAATTCACGGGGTATAGGCTGTACAAAAACGCTAGTCTAATTTAGACTTGAGTTTTCAAGCGTTAAGAAACGTCTTGTGCATTATTGTTTTGGTTGTCACGGGTTTTTACGTCCTTCGATATTTAGTGTTTACATCGGTGCCGTTTCTTCCATTACCTTGCGACATAGTTTATATTTGATGTGTTTTCGAAGTGAAGCTTCCTAAAATATATTTTAACGTCTTAGGAAAATATGCAGACTTATTAGCGCGATATCATAAAAATCCCGCTATGTTTAATTCTACTCAAAAAGAAACTTAATACAAACAAGCCATTAATTGCTACTGTATAATTACAATTATTTGTCGATAGTGTCTGGATCGTAGTATAATGTGACATGTATGTATTCTGTTTGCAGATTTCGTACATAGTTAGGGACGACTCGTTAGAGGATTGCAATGATGGCGAACGGAATGGACACAGTCGTACAACAAAACGGAGGATCAACCCTCGGACAGACCTCGCAGGAAGAGTCGAAGACGAATCTCATAGTAAATTACTTACCGCAGAGCATGACACAGGATGAGATTCGTTCTCTGTTCTCCAGTATAGGCGAGGTCGAAAGCTGCAAGCTAATCCGTGATAAGCTCAGCGGTAAGATCAGCATTTCTACTGCATTCTTTCTTTTCGTGCCAAAGCACTTAAATCCAAATCGTCAAATATTAAACGAGTCGAGCCTATATTTAGTCGAGTTTAATGATGTTTAATGACACATTAGATATTGTTTTAATGATATTGGTTTTAAAACATAAAATCTCTTATAACAAAATTTGTTGAATAATGAAAGCTGAATTCGCGCCATCTAAAAAGTAATAATCGATTTTATTATTACAATTTTGTAAAACGCTTTTTCTCTTCAGATAAATTTTTTAATCAATAATTGAAAAATAATTTCAAAATGGTTTTAAGAAAGGAAAAATTCTGCGTAAACTTTTCAAAAACAATTTGAAAAAAGAATTTTATTTTTTTCACAAACAGGCCTTTCAGAAAGCCCGAATCGATCAACTCCACTCTTCAGATAAATTTTTTAATTTTAACACGAACACACGTGATTAGTATTTAATTTCGTCAATTTCCTCTAGTTTTTTATTACCAACTGTGACCAATCGAAGGTTAGCACAATGGTGGAAGTATGCATTTTTTATTTCACGGAATTGATCAATTTGGCTCATAAACAGCTCGAGTGATGTTTATTTTGCTGAAAACTGGCATTTCGCTTATATAACGCGATCCATAAGTCTCCGACTGACACGGCATTTTGCGTAACTCGGCCATATCGCCATAAACACACTCAATGGTCGTCCGTATCGCCATAGTATATCGAATACATATATTCTAGCATAATTCGGGTACGTGTGCGCTGGGTATATTCCATGTAGTGGCGGCGAGACGAGCACGTGTATAGACGTCGCGACGCTATTTCAAGCCACCGCGAAGAACGAGAGCGGGGGCGGCCTTTGGTTTGAAGATTTGCCGCTTTATGCTCGACCTCACTGCCGCAGAGTGACAGTACCGTATCACGTCGTTCACTACCATACGCGATAAACATACCGTCACATTCGGAATTTTTTTTTTTTTCATTTCATCGAAAAACCGTAATTATTCTTCTTGCATCTTTTTCTCGATTTCTCTTCGTTAAATTACATTATAAATCATGCATCTTAAATATAGCGGAAAAGAAGCCTTTTCATATATGACTAACGTTCTAAATTAATAAAAATTGATACTTGATTATAAAATAATGCTTGATATTCTTTTTGATCAAATTATTATTTTCTTATATTGGTTCTTTGGTAAAACCGAAAAATAATTCACTCTTATGTCCTTGCTGTTCCGCTACTTGCGTCAGGCATTTCGCCAACTACTCGTTGATATATTTGCCACTACGCCATTCATAAAATTGATTCCGGGACGTATTGGGGAAATTCATGTTGGCATTGCACATTCGACCACCATTTCGATACGATTATTTTAGTCGATAGATAACCATTCAGATATAAACAAAACTCATCGAAGAAACATTTATTTTTTACATCAAAAGGAAAAGCCATCAAAATGTCATCAGCGATTCAACATATCGGAAACATCGCAAACTATGTACGATGCAGATCGTGATGAACGTATTTTTCGAAAATAAAGCTAATATCGACATTCGTAATATTTATCGGGTTGCGTCTCTGCTTGCAGGTCAGAGTTTGGGTTACGGTTTCGTCAACTATCACCGGCCTGAAGATGCCGAAAAGGCTATAAACACGCTCAATGGTCTTCGTTTGCAGAACAAAACCATCAAGGTAAGCGGGCTGTAATACAGATCTTGGGCGCATTATATGTTTCATTGTTCATTTGTTCTCTTTCATATTTCCCATAATAATTAATAACACGATTATTTACTGTAAACTTTACTTTCCACAAACCAATGATTTTTCTTGAGAAATCAGATCATCGTTATTCTTTGTGATCTGTGAACACAGGAGAGATGTTGACATTGAATATTAAGATCGGCATAGCGTCATTGATATTCGAAATCAATAGTCTATTTTCGCTAGTCGAATACTTTGGAAAGCATTTCTATCTGATTTCTAGATTGCTAAATACATCTACGCGAGCGTGTAGGGCGGTAATGCAGCAATATAAATAGGTTGGCCTGGATTCGGGCGGATTTTATCGCACGCGAACAAGAATAAATTGATGATAATCGCGTGGGCATGTTTTTCGCCTTTTTTTTCCTATCCGATGAAACATCAAGCACCTCGTTGATTCCGTCGTTTTGTTCGTATCCGATGAATATTTGTCGAGATTGAAGAGTATCTTTTGGAATGCGATTTCGTTTTTTTTTTTCTAGGTGTCGTACGCGAGACCGAGCAGCGAGGCGATCAAAGGCGCGAATCTGTACGTCAGCGGCTTGCCGAAAAATATGGCGCAACAGGATCTGGAGAATCTCTTCAGTCCCTACGGCAGAATTATCACGTCGCGGATACTGTGCGACAACATCACCGGTAAGTCTACGCAAATCCGCCTGTTCAATAGTTTTCGCGAGCTTTCCGCGATGATTTATCTGTCACGACAATAAAATTTTTCCGATCGAATAAAATTTCCAACCGCCTGTCAATTTATTCGACAACGCGAAATGTATTATCTACAAACGAAAGTCCGACGAGTCGTTACGGATATCGTTTGAAATATTTCCTCGTGCGGTTTCTTCCAGTCGGCTTAGATCCGATTTTTTATTATTCCGAGATCTCGTTATTCTATTCACGCTGATACGAACCTCGCAATATGATGAAATCGATGTGCGAGAAAACTATATTTAAGACAGCGACAAAATCGGAAATCTCCGGTAGCTTTAAATAAAGCTTATCCAGATCACAGGTGCGTAGGCCATGGGGTTAGAGTCCGTTTGTAGGGTGGGTCGGTGCGCCATAAACGATAACGATAACAAAAGTGCGAGTAAGAGTAGCTCGTTGAAGCGATAACGATAAATGTTCTGTTGAGCGAACGAGATCGTATCAGTTTCACTTTGTTATGTTTTCTTTCGCCTGTACACACTCTTCCACACGTTTCCTCATTCGAAGAGCACAAAGAGCAACGATTTCACGAGTATACAGCTTCGCATATACACGCAACTTTGTTCTCGAGGGGAGCTACATATACCTACGACAGATACGATGACAACTCAAAGTGTCGCGCAAGTGTCTCTCGCTTTTAGTCTACGAACCTTCCCGAGTTAGATTTCGTTTGCGTATTTGATTTATTTATTGCAAATGCTCCTCCCTGACCAACCCAGTTGCACGCACAAAAGTCTCATGGCCTCCACCTCGATCTTAATTTCGTGCCTCCTTACCGTGCTCACTTTTCACTCCCATCCTTCATTCCGACGCATTCGTTGCTACATCTTGTCACGTATTATCATCATTATTATTCCATTATCCGGACCACCAGGCTTGCTTCGTTTTCTCCCGAGACTTACGTTCGTCCTATGTCGCTTTCTCCTATCTCCCGCAAAAGTGAACACGCGCGATATACCGAATTTTTCCCCTTTTGGCGCTCACGCTTTTTATATGATTAAGGAGATCTGAAATAGTATAATTTACACGAAGTCCGCTCGCCCCTTGTATACGTATTCGTCCTATTTAATTTCTTTTGTTTAAAATGATATCGTTTCTTTTCGTTATTGTACGAAACGTTAAATGCGAAAGCAACGAATACCAATCCAGTAACGATTATTAAAATATTAAATAACAATTAAAATACAAAAAATTTATTTATTTTATTTACAATTTACATATTTAGTTTTTTATAATTTTTTAGACCTTCTTGGTTTCACAGTTATGTATGTAGTTTTATATTTTTTATATTATTCGCATATATGCAGAGAAATGATTGCGATATTCTATTAAATCATTAAATGTAAGATCAACTTGTTCTTGCTTCCTACAAATGGCTGGAAATTAAAGAATTTTGATTTATCTTACAATTTTGAGAAATTCTGAATATAAATAATATTAAATTTTTCAATTTGTTACGTCAAAGTCACAATGATTTTTTTTTTTTTTTAATTTGAATGCCGACGAGACTCGTTGCTTTTACTTTGCTTTCTTTCGTTAACCCCTTTACTCCGTCTTATCGCGCAAACACGTTTTTTCATTTCCCGAACCAACGTATCGCAGGGGCGAGCGAATCGCGTGTGCTGCCAGTTGGATTTTAACGAGATATGATTTTTTCCGTTTCTGTTTAGTACGACAGTTTGTGACCGGCGGCGGAGACAATTTGCCCGGTACGTAAATCACAAATCTCTTTTCTTTTCCCTCATTACGTCCTCTAGCTGAAACGAAAAGCAGCCGTTTCTTTCGATCTGTGATGCGCGCGCGTCTCTCGTTTGCGCGACCTCGTTTTTTTTTTCACATGTAGCCATGTATACCTCGTCAATGTCGTCGCCGTCGTTGTTAAATAAAACACAACGCAGCGATAGTACGAACATCGGTTTTCCCCGCGGTGTAATCGAGCGTGGTTTGGAATCGAAAATCGATTTGTAATCGCGCCAAGTAAACGTCGCCTTCGATAAAATTCCGTTCATGTCTACTTGTTAACGTTTTGTCAAAATTTATTTGTAACTCCAGCGAGTGGCGATGTATTTCAACGAAAGATTTATAGATTTTACATTGTGTGACGCATTACTAGACTGGCTTTATAAAATTGGTGCGTGAGATCGAAAATCGGTAAAATATTAAATAATAAAATAATTGCGGGGTTTAATATTTCGCGAAACATTCCATGTTTTTTTCACCTTGACTGCGACTCGGAAAATTTCACTTAATTGATATGAAATTTTGGGACAACCAAATGTAAGAAGAAAAGATGAGAAAAAATTATTGCATCTCTGTCTTCGTCGTGCAATGACAGATGATGCGCGCATCCAGTATTTCCCCGAGCGCCATTTTTGTTTCTTTACGCTTTTTGTCATTCGTTATGGTTATGATTTGCTTACGATCTCTCAATTATATCGACATGTATCCGTGATCGAAAATATACTCGCTCTATCTCTCTTTCATTTTTTTATCACTTTTCTTTATCTCTCACTTTCTCACTCTTTCTCTTTTTCGTTCCTGTCTACCTGTTATCAATCGACACTAGACCGCGAATGATAAATAGATCTACAAAGTAGAGAATTGAAAGAAAGACAAAAAGACGTCCACCCGACAAGACATTGTCGTTGTGTTTGTAAAGAAACGAATCTGCGCGCACCGAACCACTCGTTTTGTCTTTATGTAGAAAAAGATTTTCTAAAGTATGAAATAAGCTTAACATTTCTCGAGTCTATGCGACATGTATTTAAGTCGTATCTTTCTGTCGTTACGAGAGATAAGCGATTTATATTCGCAATTTGTCGCTGCTCTCAATGATAGCTGAACGCAGGGAAGCATACATTATCAGGATTGGAAAAGTTACTTTACAAATAACTTATATATAAATTACTTTTTATTCTAGAAATTGAGTACAATAAGTCCGAGTATTTTATTTTTTATATTATATTTTATCATTTGCTCCAATTTTGTATTACTTTTGTACTCAATTTTTATAACAAACACATATAAGGTGATCTAAAAAATAACTTGTAAATGACTTATAAAGTAACTTTTTCAATCCTGTACATTACATATGTGAAATGTGAATTATTTTGTATGTATTCTATAATCTATAATAATAAGTACAACTTGAGTGATAACTTGATGTATCGAGATTGTTAACTGATCGAGAAAGCTAGCTAAAGGCTTTATTAATAATAATATCGCGCATAATAAAGAGGTATAATGTAAGACGACGTCACGGTAAGAATACGCAGGTAACGTCGCGGTACAATGAAAAGTCCAAAACCAAATTGGTTTTGAGCCGTCGTTGATTCCGCGACGTTGCTAGTTTGATAAGAAAGAAACAGAAAAATACAGGAACCTAGAGATCGGTCGGAAGCGTCCGGCGCGGTTTCGACGAACCGGCTTACGTCGTGTGTCGTCTCAGCAATAACCAGATGCGATCTTATGTGTTCTGCCGATTACCTCGACACCTCTCGACAGGCCTGTCGAAGGGCGTCGGATTCATAAGGTTCGACCAGCGCGTCGAGGCTGAACGAGCGATCCAAGAGCTGAATGGCACCATACCGAAGGGCTCGTCCGAGCCGATCACCGTCAAGTTCGCCAACAATCCTAGCAACAACAACAAGGCGATACCGCCATTGGCCGCCTATCTCGCACCACAAGCCACGCGGCGTTTCGGCGGGCCGATCCACCATCCGACCGGCCGCTTCAGGTACATTCCACTGTCGCCACTATCCAGGTACCTACTCGCCTCTACTCGCTCTACCCAAGGATTTTCACTATCTCTCTAACTCTTCGTCTCTTCTGCTGTCTTTTTCTCTCTTTCCGCTTTATTCTACCCTCACGGCTTTCGTTAGACAGTTCTGTTGGAGGATGTTGCGTGGAACAATTTGTCGCAGTTGTCGTTAACGCGATGTTGATGTCCTGGATATGCTCCAGCACAGACCTACGCGAATTAAATACCACGATTGCTCGGCCGCGCAGCATTTTCCTGCTTTTCTTTCTTCTCTCACTTTATGTTTCTTTATTGATTGATTTTCTGATAATTATTTAACTGTATAAACTGAGTTTCTTTTCCTGATTTATTTATTTTATCCATGAATCTCTCCATATTCGTCCATCTATCCATCTAATTGTCCAATATTTATTTTTTTACTTTTTTCTATCTAGAGCTCTCTAACTATCTAGCATATACTATTCGTCTTCTTCCTTCTATTTTCTCTCTTTTGACACACACAGACACCGCGTAAACACGAAATTACTCGATTAGATCGATCGATTATTCATATATAAACACGAGACTTTGCTATTCTTGTGCTATCTTGATATTACAAAATGGGTCTTTATTTTTGATACGAGAAAAAAATATTTTTTTTCTTATAGAAAATGTATAATACTATACAATATTATGCTTGTTTTATTGCGGCTTGAAAAATCTCAGATAAATAACTTAAAAAGAATGAAAAAGTATTTCATAGAAAATATTGTGATTATAATTAATATATTAAATACAATAAATGAAAATATGCTAAATTGATTATAATAGACATTTATCTGCTCTGTTTGATAATGTCTTTATTCGATTTTTGACCGTTTATACGGTAAATTAAAAACATATTTGTGATTATGTATGTCAATCGATCGATCAGTCGATCGCAGACAGTTATCGTTACTTCCACATCTATCAAGTTGTTCGGCACAAAGCTCCTCCTATATCATCCGATTCTAATTTAAAATATGTATGCACTAACGTGTCTGTCGTTTATTTTAAATTGTGACTGTGCACGCTCTGTTATTTTCGGGAATCATGGCTTAGACCTTTGTGTTACTTACACGGTAATTTTTAGATACGGTATATTTTTCATATTCTCACTTACAATTAGTTATAAGGGAATGGTCAATGACGACGTTTAATAAAAGAATAGTTTCGCCATTCTTTAATATATTTCATTATGATTACTCGTCACTTGAAAAATATACGTATTATTTTTCATTAGTTTACAATGTTAACGTGAACAAACAAAAATTCGTGGAAAGGTATAGTGTTTCGGAGCACAGACGATCCACGGAGAATCCGCATTACCTCTGTTTAGAAAGGTCTTTCCGTCTTGCAATCGATATGGCTCTATTAAACTTTCATATTGACGAAACAACCTGTCAAGGTCGATCGGAGGGCTCCATGACCTTATCAAATAATAAATCGATGTTCGATAACATCCACTTAATTTCACGCAATAATAATATAAAGAAAAAAACGTCGACTGGCCCTCCTTTATTTGCACTCATCGTTGTGTTTCTTTCATCATTGTTTACGTGGATTCTTGTTTTTTATGCTACTTTTCCCCCCTTTTAGTTTTCATTTTCTTCAAGGCCAGCGATCAGATCCGATGAGATAGACGTGTATAAATCTATACTACTCGAGCGAATGCAGAGAGACGAAATATTGTAATAAGTTTGATTTGAAAACGTAAGCTGATCTTTGGCCATTCTCGAGACACGGAGGAGCAAAACGTACACAATAGCCTTACATTCTATATCGATATCTGCCGTCACGATCGTAATATTTTATTTTGGCAAATTATTAGATATATTATGAAATTATTATAGAAATCTTTATATAACTTAATGACGACAAATATCAGTTACAGAGTTAAGGACTATCGACACACAATTTATCATCTCTCTTTCGTTTCGAGCCTCCCATATATTACACATAAGTCACGATGCTCGCTATCAAGAGCGATATCTATTTACGTACTATACGTATATTCACAAATTTCCGCTCGGAGACGATATACGTAGTATACATCTTCATTGATCGCACGTGTCAAAGTCTGTTCGTACGTCTAAATTCGAGATTTAGCTAGCAAAGCTACCGAAATTCTCCATGAGTCTCTCGTCACGGACATTAATCGTTTGTTTTCAATAAGTACAAAGCGCTAATCGAGTGCAGCTGCGCTTTGCTGTTGCTTTGTCTCTCATTATTTCATTTTCCCTTTCAACAGAGTGAAAGAATAGCTTGTATAGCAGTTAATTGAATTGTCAATGTTAAACAAAATTTGAGACGACAAAATGCACAATCAATTAATGGTTTGAGTAATCAGCCTACTTTCTACAATTTTTGTAATAATATATACAAAAAAAGTAATTTGCTAATTGTATAATATATATTATCCGTAAAACAGAATGCTTTTTCTTTTTTTTTTAATATCCGAATTTTTGTTTTTTTTTTTAATTTGCAAGTGTAAAATTTTTTTAATGCTTGAAAATTTTAACGATTTCAAGTTTTTCATGTTATTTCGACGTCATCGTTTGGAAACTACGTCACGGTCATATTCTAACCTAAATAGCGCTTATGTCGTTGTGACAATAATTCCTTGAGTTCCTCTCCTAACAGAGAACCGAACTGATTTCATAAAACAAATTCCTTGTCGATTATTTACTTTACAAAATTAAATTTCTACTAATATTATCTAAATTAATTACTTCTTTCTAATCTAACAAATATTATTTAAATTGTGAAAATAATTATTGTATTGTAAATAATTGTGTATTATATTTTTTATTGATGTTATAACGACGTAGATATCATTTCGCTTCTCTGAATCCCGCATTGCATCCCCCATTGCGTCCCGTTCGGGATAACAGTGCACCGCTACGTAGAGGGTAGAAAATGAAATACACAGGGAGCGCCCGACTTATCCCCCGACTTTGGCTCGATCCCGGAGTATCTCTCTTCTTACGTTGTTCTTTTGTGTTTTGTTTTAGCACTGGCAAGGCCATGCTTGCCATTAACAAAGGCTTACAGAGGTCAGTATTTTTTTCGTTACTACCGCTACGTTTTCCACTCCTAATTTTCGTTATTTCTTCCGTTGTGTGGCTTTATTCTCTCTTTTTCTCTCTCTTTATCACTTTCCCTTCTTCGACTCGTTACGAATTCGATACCAAGATATCGCAAAATGATTTTATCATTAAAACAATTTCGAGATAATAAATATTATTTATATTATTTAACTTTTAATAATTATTACTTGGATTTTTTAAGTGGTCCTTATCCGTGGATGTTCTTACGTGAAAATCTTTTTCAAGATGTAAAATATTTTTCATCGGTTTTCTTTATGTAAGCATAATTTCGTAACGGGGTCCTACTATATTTTTCACCATTTCTGCATTTTTCACGTCTTTTTGCTTCGATTTTTATTTGATTTATTTGTGCAAACACAGTGGTAGATATGTTGACATCACGTTTTCTTGGGTTTCGCAATCAAGCCTCCTTGGTTCCCTGTTCTCCCACTTATTTACATAGTGCCATTCATTCGTTTAATAATGATTAAACCGCTGCAGTATTTGTCACCGTAGTATTTGCAACGATTGCAGCTTCTAGAATATTTTAGAGTTTTGTTCTTATTACGCAATTTGCGTATTAGAAATAGCTTTAAAAAAAAAACATAATTACATAGTCTTGAACTGACATTTTGCGTTAATGATAATGAAAAAAATTGAGATTTTTTTTACATTTTATTGAAATATTTCAGAGAAAATTTTATTTGAAAATTCTGGATATTTATATATACATATATTACGTATTCTCTGTAAACTAAAGTTACATACAAAATCTATTCTCGAAGGTACTTATTCTAAATACTTTTATATGTAGAGAGAAATCGGATGCAGATACTCTCGTGTACATATATGTACATATGTTTAATGAACCACGAGACGAACTCACATGCAAGCAACGTGATGTTACTCCTTTCATTTCCTTGTCCTTATAGATTCCATCGTTTTTTTTTGTACGGCCCTCCATACACACACATATACACATACATACGTACACACACGGAATTGGATCATAGACGGTCGTATAACCACCCAATGCACATGTTTCTGCGTACACACGTAAAAAAAAATACATGACACCTATCACACGTTTACTTTACGCGGTGTAACGTACAACGTACGTGACGAATGCATACGTAATTATTGTGGCCTCGGCATTATACTGAGTACTCACCGAGATGTGCCCTGTTTTAACGCGGCTTGTGACGTCAAGTAGGTATGTAGATACTTTTACAACTGTAAATATTCCCCTCACTTGTATAAGTGCCCTCGTATGGGACGTGTACCTCCCATTCCTGTACTCTGAAATCTTATCTATCTAGCAAAAAGAATTCTGTCGCACATTTAAGAATTAATGTTAATGTCTACCGTAGAGAGCGCCATCCAAGGAGATTGGCTTGCGTTTCAAAGAAACACGTTCTGTACCTATGTGATTCCCTGTGCACGTGAATGCATGAAATGTGGATGCAATAATGTACCTTTGTCCAATTTGGCTTTTTCTCTGGATATATTAAGCTATATCCTTATAGAGAATGCATGATTCGAAACAAAGATTTAATTACGTTTCATTAAAGATTCAATATCCAGATAGCGTGTACTTGTAAATTTTCTCTGCATAAAATATGAACAAGTGACATTTCTTTATAGCATCCCATAATGCCACTTACATTTTCTTTCTCTTTTTATTTTTATTATCTTATAACTTATAATTCTAAACGAGCACTACTATTTATGTATACTACCTTTTTATACATACTCTTAACGTTTCATTTATTTTCTGTTTCTTATTTTGAAGCTTAGTACACAGATTTACGTACGAGATATTATTATTCTTTCATTATTATCTACAGGCTATGTCAGAAATATAAATATCGTTGATAAAATTTGTTGAAAATCGTCCAGAGTAACTGCTTTAACACAGCTTTGACACAGCTTATATATATATGTACTTGAAATATGCAATTAAAATAGAATAATGTTTTTTGTATCTGTAAAATTTGGAAAATTTTTTATAATATTAATTTATAAATATACACATTTATTTATTTTAAATTTTTATAGTGATCACACGATTGAAATAAATACTTGTGTATTTTATACGGCATGTCTTTCTAGAGTATATATTATATATTTATAAACGAAGTTTGCACGCTGTCCTTATTTATATATCACTTATGCCATATTTTTTATAATGTCGCGTAAGTTACGTAGTACAAAATCAGTCCTCGCGTAGTTCTACATATTTTTTTTTCACTTTTTTTGTGCCAGTGTCATATGTAGATGTCTGCGGAAGTGCCATTTGTGTAAAGAAAGAGATCGATTACATATCACGCGAAATAAATGTTCACATCAGTATGTATATATTCGCATCTTTTTACACGTTTAATTTCATTGGGATTGCGATATACTGTGCGAGTAGCGTATAATGTAAAATCTTAATAGATATACCCTTTTATATTCAGAGAAAAGAAACATCAGCAAGTATTTATAAATTGAACGGTGCTCAAACGTTCCCTCGTGAAATATGAACGATAATGTAAAATAAAACTCGATAGCATGTTAGTATATTTTATGAAAGAATTATAATGTTTATATATTTAATATGATAGAATTATAAATATTTAAAGATCATCATCATTATTCAAATTTCTCCACAATTGTGAAAGAATGAAAAAAATTCTACCCCTAAAATTCTATAAATTATACATTATACAATGATTGTTTCACATGGAATTATCGTAGCCAAGAAATGCGTTTTCATATTCTTGATTACGAGAAGCCAATTAGAAATTGTCATTAAAATGACATACGTAAACTACCGATTCGTTTCGATGTAACCACGTTTCAGCATCGTTCGTCCTCTCACTCGTCGCCTCCGCGGCCGTCATTGTCAGCCGCCATCGGGCGACGATGTCCGTTTAATGACCGGACTGGCCACCGTGTTCCAGGTACAGTCCTCTGGCGGGTGACCTTCTCGCGAACTCGATGCTGCCCGGTAACACGATGAACGGCGCCGGCTGGTGCATCTTCGTGTACAACCTCGCACCCGAGACCGAAGAGAATGTGCTTTGGCAGCTGTTCGGACCCTTCGGCGCCGTCCAATCGGTCAAGGTCATACGCGACCTTCAGACGAACAAGTGCAAGGGCTTCGGATTCGTGACGATGACCAATTACGAGGAGGCGGTGGTGGCCATACAGAGCTTGAACGGCTACACCCTGGGCAACCGCGTGCTCCAGGTCAGCTTCAAGACGAACAAGAGCAAGGCGGCGTAGGACGAGCAACAGGCGGCAGCGGCGGCGGTGGCTGCAGCTGCGGCCGCGGCGGCGGACGCGGCAGCGGTAGCGGACACCTCTACAACAAGCGAGGTCCTGGCCAGGTGCCGGGCGGCATTGGCAACAATAACATCAACAGTCACATCGGGGTCGGCGGCACCGCCGGTGGCATCCTTCACGGAGGAGTCAAGGGCCAACGGCAGCCGTTCCTTCAGCGTCTACCGTCGCGCATACACGATCTCACTCGGGCAATCGAGATGGCAGTTTCGGGAGCGGCGAATACGGCAACGCAGCAGCATCAACAGCAACAGCAGCGTCAGCACGCGCAAGCCAAGCAGACCTCCCTGAAGAATAAACCCAACAACAACCGTCAGGCCGGCAGCAAAAAGCTCCAGCAGAGCGAGAAAGTGTAGTTGCAAGGAGTGTGTGAGAGAGAGAGAAAGAGGGAGAGAGAAACTGAACGTATGTGTACCTGTGTTCGTGTGCGTGTGTATGTGTGTGTGTGTGTGTGTGTATGTGCGCGCGCGCGTGAGAGAGAGAGAGAGAGAGAGAGAACGGTTGAAGAGAAGTAATGAAGGAAATAGAAAGAAGGCCGCGCGAGAGATAATTAGAAAGAAGTAGGTTAGATCGTTCGACTGTCCGATATGTAATCGTGGACTGTGCATGTGGAAAGCTCGAAGGAAAATAACGGGGAGGGGGTAGAAAAAAAAGGATGCGATATTAACGAGTCCTCTCGTGTCCTCTCATTCCCCTTTTTTTCCTCGCTGCGCTCTTCCTCTTTCGGGTTTCTGTCCTTGCATTCGGTCGTGATCATAGATGAAAAGAAGACACGCGAGGAACATCTTTGGCGTTTTATTGACACAAGCAAAATTGTAAGAAATTTGACAAGGAAGACGAAAGATTGAAGCGCGTTTTTGCCTTTATCTTACGTTCCTCCACAATCATGCTACAAGATGCCAAGTAGGAAATTTCATTCCTAGTTAGAAAGGCGTAAATTTTCTTGACTAGATTACGCGTGGGAATGATAGGAGAATAACACGAAGAGACTAGTTAAAAGAGAGCCAAACCGAAAGCGGGTCCTGTATATACATATTGCCGATTTATATGTATGTGTACGCGAAAGCATGCTTGTGGACCAAGTGTGTAAACAGGACGATAATTTGCAAAGAGTTTTGAAGCTTGAGGGAAGAGGAAGACGCAAAAGGTCGAGGTATGAAAGTGAGGAAGGAAGGCAGAGAGAGAGAGAGAGAGAGAGAGAGAGAGAAAAAAGGACTTTCCCTTAGATTAGCATTTGACGATGCGTCGAGAGCCTCCGCCGGGCATTTCGGCCGATCTTTCTTTATTTTTTTTTTCTACTTAATGTACATCCATGACCGGGTTAGTCACGACGATATCGGGCTGTGAGACTGAATCACACATCAGACACGCAATTAATATACACATACACATACACTTGCACGTACAAGTAGAACGATCACCAAAACGCGCGGTTAAGAATGGCAGGCTGTCGTAGAAGAGAACATATTTCGGAACGCGCTCACGTGAGATAAAAATTCGTCGAAATGCGGGAGAAAAAGAGCGGATGGGAGAGAGAGAAAGGGAGAGAGTGAAAGAGAGCAACAGAAACAGAAGGAAGAAAAATAGAGGGGAGTATAAAAGAATGAAATCTCAGAGAAACACTCACACACAGTGCTTAGTAGTAGGTGGTTATACATACTCGTTTTATGTATAAGTTTTAGAGTATTAGCGTCGTGATACGGTGAGGGTACGAAGTGCAAAGGAAAGGAAAGGAGATATTGGGGGGAGGGGGATATAAAGGGTAAAATTGATTTTGTGGATTTAAGAATGTAAAGCGCGCCAGGGACCGGTTTGGTAATCGAGAAAAGGCGAAAAAAGTAAACCAAGTATTGTGGGGCAGGGCTCGCACTCACGTGTTCGTACGATCGCACGGAGCAGATTTTAGTGTGCGGGCACGATGTGTACCTTAATGTAACCCCGTAAGTTTAATTAAGATGTTACCGTTTGAGTATCGACGTATGGACACTATGGACGTATTTATTCTCGGGCGAGACGGCTTCCCGGAGGATCACGAGCGGTGATTCTCGGGGCTCGGTATAGGGTAGAAAGAGAGAGAAGGAGAGAGCACGGCCTGTGAGGTGATCGCGAAGCGATCTAACTGCGTAACTATAATAACCACTTCGTGCTAGTCAGAACTCAGGTGGTTTCCATTGCCACGCATACGTGTCGATGATACGCGCGTATATAATGTGTCTCTTTCGTTTTCTTTTTTTTTTCTTTTTTATATGAGACGTATTTATTAGGTAGTAAAAATATGCTTTCGCAGGATCGGATTCTCTGACTCTCGATAATTATCCGTGAGGATGCACCGTCCGAGAGGACATTTTACAAAATGTTACGTAATTTCACGATCGTCGATTCTTTTATAGTTCCTTTCGAGAGATCTCGTAAATACCGGGAACGAATAACGATAAAGGAAGAACGGGTTTCTTGTTTGATTAAAAAAAAATTAATGCTTTAATCTTTGCATATAAATATATGTACAACTTTTACACTTTACAATACGTGAGACGTTAGATAATAATTTAGAGCGTGTGATCGCTCGAGTGTCGCGTTTAATTTTTACGTTTTTTGTCGTCGATTAGCATTGCACGTTTCGTCGCTCCTGGAAAAAAGATTCACGAATATTGAAAATTGCATAAATACAACGAGAGGAAACGATGATATTGTTCTATGAGACAGAAGAAACGAATATTGCAACATCCGTTATTTTATCTTTGTGTCGTGGAACATTGATATTGTTCTCGTTTGAATATATCGATATGACAAAAAAATTATGCACTTTGCAGATTGGACCTCTTTAGAACTTTGAAATTCTGAAAGAGAAAACTCCCGTTCCTGCATGTACTTCGAGGACGGTGCATGCGACCGGTATGTGATACGGATTAATGACAAGATTTGCAATGATTGACGTTCGATCTCAGGTCAGATTAAGGAATCACGCATCTAGTCTATGTGCAAGTTGCCGCGTCGTCAGCGCAGTTTCGCGTTTAAAGAAAGATAAAGGACGGATAACGACGATGAACACCAGGAATATAGGCGAACGCAACGACGAGCGCGGCTAATGATAAGTGAAATGACGCGAAGCAGGCGAGCCGGATCCTCACGCTCGTTCGTGCGATTATTGTTGCCATCCTTTCGAATGACGACGGATCGATTCGGTTTATTGACAGTAATTGTATCATAGACAAAATCCTGAAGCGATTCTTCGCAGCTGCGAGCACTTTAGTGGAATCGTTGTCCCAAGGAGACTTTACGCGACCGCAGCTCAAGGAATGATTCTCCGCAATTGTAAGTAGTTCAAAAATCGCTTTCCGAAGGTGATTCTCTTCGACTGCGCGTAGAGATTACGTTATCAAAGTGATTTTTCGCACCCGCTTCCGTCACTTCTCCCGCGTGATCTTTCAAAAGTGCAGAGATAGCGGTCCTTGATCCGGCGATCGCGACTTTTGAAACGGGAAACGATATAACTATAATGGATCTCCGGATTGCGCGAGGCGAGCATGAGGACGCGGATTACGCGTACTTAATTGCGAGTAAGACGATACTCGGTTAAGGATAGATTTAGTCAAGGAAACCAAAAAAAAACTTAAACATGTATGTGGTAATAATAATGAGTACCTTAGTGTCTAGTCCGGGAGTCGCAAGGAGACGCGAGGACGAATGATATTGTCCCTCGGAAAAGTCGCACGACTCCCACAAACGTTGTGGATTTTCTTTTTCTAAGACATTACTTTATTTATTCAGAGTCGCCGCCGATTCACGCGCGAATCCTTTCTCGATGAAGGACGCGGGGTTTCGGCGTGGCGCCAGGATCTCGAACGTTAGTGCAAATTAAGGCGTCGACGGGCATTAAAACGTCGCCGCGTAAGCGCAAACTCGCTGATCGGAGGGTGTTCGAACGACGATTGGTCTCCCCCTTCATCGCTCATAATTATATCACAATACTTATACGAATACAGTAAGCTCAACGCGTTCGTACATGCAGATATATACGAGGTGTTTCCCCTCGATTGATTCGCGTAAGCGAACGGTAATTTTTATTCGCAATTTGAGATGTATATTTCGCGTGTTTGTTACGCGAGCACCGATAGAATATTAATAGATCGTTATTGATAGAGAGTAAATTAATGGCGTACTGATACCACGTGAAAAATGAGACCACAGCTCGACAGCTGGAATTTCATACGAATACGTGAGAGATGAATCATATTTCGACGCATCCTCTCAGTATCAGCGAGACGTCCGTTTTTTTCGGGACGTTTCTTTCATAATACACATGCGAATATACATTTGCCATTATAATAATTATTCTCCTTCTTGCTATTATTGCCGTATTATTATGATTATACTTTATTCTTATTACTATTATTATTGCCATCGTCATCGTCTCATTATTATTATTAATTATCATTATTATTATTATTACTTATGATCGTGTATATTTTCTGTGTCTTTTGTCTAGTAGCTACGTGTAATCTTTAACACCTCATTACTTACTCTCGTATAATAATACTAGAGAAACATATAAAGAAGTACTTTACTCACTCTTCACTTGCTCACTTAACATCACTCTACTATCGCCACTTTCTGCCAATCGCTCTATAACTATTACGTTGCTACTACCGCTACTGCTGTGTTACCACCACTACTACCACTTACTACTACTACTTACTACCGACTATTTATTTATTTATTTAATTATTAAATAACATAACAACTTATTATGTTTTATTTAAGGATTAAACTGATTTGTGTTTGGTTCAAATGTCGTTTGTTTTATTTCTATTAAAAATGTTTCAGTTGCCATTCACCCGGCATCCCGACCTTCCCCACGATTATCGCCGATTCGTCCGTCCTCTAGACCTACCCTCCCTTTCATCGACATTCCACGATCTCTTCCTGACATTCCACGAGTTACAGACTGATGTAATAGCGATGTAAAAAAAAAAACCGGGGAGCCGCTCGACCTCGATGCACGAGACTCCGCTCATGGATCCTGGTTCGTAGCGTCTTTATTACTTATACTATATATTATTTATACTATTAATATAATCGCGAACGCTGCCATTGGTACGACGAGTGCGACCGAATTGCTCGTTTTAATTATTAAAAATCTTTGGAGATGATATTTCGATCGTACCAAGTATATCCGCGGAAGATGCTACTGCGCATCTCTTGGTGCGAAATAAGGAATTTCGAAAAAGACTTTTCAGTACATATATTGGCGGCGTTCACGACAGCGCGTTGAATGGTCTAGAAATTACTATGCGTAATGGTGCAGTCGCAATAGAAAGAATAAGGAATTAATAAGAAATAACGATTCCAACCTATCAGAAACCGTGTATTCCGATGTATCCGATTTCTGATAGGTTGAAATCTTTATTCCTAATTTCTTATTCCTTCTATTGTGGC